ATAATTTAATTTAAGTTTAGTAATAAAACAATTTATTTTTGGTTTAATATGATATATTTTATAAAGATAATAATTAAGTATTTTGTTAGAATTTAATGATTATACTAATTATATTTTAGATTTTTTATATTTAAAATGAGATGTTTATCCTGTATTTAATTGTGTTTATCTGCAGTTAGTTACATGAATTCAGATATGAGATGAAATCGGATATAGATGAAATCATTTAGGAATGAACGGGTTTAAAAGTTTTTAAAAGTTTTAAGAGTTTTTAAGAATTTTAGCTAAATGTTTTATTATATAAGTATAGATTATTATTATTATTATTATTATTATTATTATTATTATTATTATTATTATTATTATTATATAAATTATTATTGCTATAAAAATATAAAATTATTTACATTAATAAGCTAAAGATTTAAAAAAAATATAATGCAAATAGTACCGTGCATAATAACTTCTATATAATGTTGTTATATCATACGTGAAAACGATGATTCAAATTGACAAAAAAATCGTGTAATAAATATTATAGACTCCTATTAAATTATCTGTTTCAAACATACTATGACGTAATTATTGCTTTAATAAACGAAGATCGTGGTAGTATTTTGTCAACCATCTTCTAATGATCTTCACTTCATCGTTCCGTTGTTTAATCAACCAATCAGGATCGGTTTTACTCGAGGCCAATATATCCAAGCAATGTGAACCTAAAAATCCAAGCAAAAACGAAATCATTACGATCTATCGGTAATATGATCTTTTTCTCGTATTATAGTGGGCAAGAAATAACAACACCAAAAAGACGTCCACAAAAACATACCATTGGTAGTGTAGACAGCAAGGACTTCATCTGATATATTCTCCAACACCCTGAAACGTAAAAGAGAAGATACGCTCATCTGATAGATCTACTCTTTTGACCGTAGCTTTTCACTTATTATTTATCAGCATGCATCAACTTGTCTCTTTTTATGAGGCATAATACAGTGTCGACATTTTAATTTAAAAAAACACAGCTTTATTTGCGTCGTTACATACCCTCCACTGCTATATGGATCTCTTAAGCCGTTGGAGAAGATGATGTTACTGCCGAACTTGCTAAGCACTAACTTTATGTCCTGCAACATCAAACGTGAAACACACTTTAAATCACACAAATCAATACAAATAAAAAAAGGTAATAAAGAAGGTACATACATAACCACCATAATAAGTTGTGGCCCAGTGAGGTCGAGGCGTGACACCATACACGCTTTTGCAATTGTCAATCACTTCTTGTAGGTTGTAAGGCTGGCTCGGAAACATGCTGACATTACTGGTTATGCCAATCGGTATCACCATCTCGCTACACGTCTATGTATAATTATATAAATCATTAATAAAAATCATAATAAAAACTAGATAAAAAAGTATAAAAACCATATAAAAGTTTACGTGGTTATTCGAGTACTTAAATGTTTAAAATTTTACATCTTAGGTACCAAAATAAAAATTTTGAAAATACATTACCCAAAATAAAAATCAAGAAACAATTTATCCTGGTGTATAAAAAGTAAATGTATAATATCAATTTATAAATGGCAAGTTTTCGTAGAGTTTTTAATAGCGGCGTTACATAATAAGACAAGCAAAATTACTTACTTGCCATCCCCATCCAATGGAAGTTTGACTAACTCCACGTGTCGTATTGTGGCATGGACTGAACGGTTGATACGCAATAACACCATCAGATATGCGATCAAGAATATCAGTGGCATTGCTTGCTCCATCGATGCCTTCACAAATTCGGGTCGTCGGATACGTTGGTGGAGCATTATATTGAGCTGCGTAAGCATACATGGAATCCAAGTACCCCTTGAGCTCATCAGAGTTCTTCAATGGCCTTAATAAATAAAATAAAAAATTAATTAATTAAATTACATAATTCATAATATTTAAATAAAAAATAAAAAATAATACTACTTACGAGCAAGTATAGAATTTTTTGGAAAGAATGGAAAGACCATTTGGCATTGAAGCAACTCTATCGATCTCGTTCCACGATTTCTTTATCGTCATATAACAGTTTTCGCTAGCTTCCTGTATGTGTATATATATATATATATATATATAATTATATCGGATTGGATTCACGTAAGAACAAGGGTTTTTCGTTTTAACCCGTAAGACCAATTTATGTTTATTGATCAACTTTATAAGCTAAAGATTTAAAGGTCTAAAGTTGCATAGTGATAATTTTGTGATTATGAATGTTCAAATTGTAGATCTAATCCAAAGATTGAGAATTGATCTTACATGTCTCACGAAAAACCTTTAGTCTCATATAATCACAAATCTAATTATATCAATCCCAAATCTTTGGAAAGATGGAAAAAAAAAACCCGACAAATGTTATTTTTTTACCTTGAAATCTTTGGTAACGATCGAGTAATACCCATCTTGAGGAGTGAGCTTATCGAAGTAAAGAATTGGAGCCGAGGAAGCAAGAGCACCAAGCGCGATATGCGGATACTTGAGACGAAACCATGAGGCAAGCACTGATTTTTTTTTCCATAAAATTAGTCGAGATGTTCACGTATTAGTCGTAGTCACCAATAAATTACCAAAAATAGTAGAAAAACATATATCTAAAAACACTACCGATAGTAGATATTTAAGGTTTTTTTTTTTTTTTTATTAACCTGGATATCCAACCCGTTATGCGAGCCGACTAATCCAAGGACAACCATCTGCTTTGCAGATAGTCCGGAGTCACCGCATTTGAACCTACGTAATTACAAGGGAATTTTTATTCCTTCTTGAATAAAGTTGTTTTTTTAAGGTTAATTAGAGGACTTACTTCCACCGTAAGACCCTCCGATAACAATAATCGGAGAATGATGTGCACGTAATTTGTTTTTGACATGCAACAAAACCTCTGCATAATCGGCCAATGCTTGAGCAGAATTGAAGTACCCACGTATAGTCTTGTTTTTCACTGATTCAGCCATCGACCCAACTGGATTTGATTCTCCATAAAACCGATGCTACTCACAAAATAAACACATATACATACAATTACAAGATTCAGACGATGGATTATTCAAAAAGCCATAATAATTAAGCACCTATATGTGTACCTCTATATAGACCAAAAGGGCCTTGAAACGAGGGGCGTTATCAGTGAGGAATCCGATGATCGGGATGTCACGATCCAAGGGTCCTTCGGCACCAAGATAAGCGAAAATTGGTGCGTTCTTGTTAGCACCACCCCACCATTTAGAGTTGATGTAATACCGTTGTGGGAAAGTGGCGTAACTTTGCGGGTTGTAGTTAAAATGGTCGAGCGTTTGGTTATAGAAAAAGGTTTCGACGTCCTTCAAAGGCTTCACATTCGCGAAACCGACGTTCGAATCTCTTAGAAACGGATCGATAGGACTCAGCCCGTGTGGTGCACCCAAGATGGTCGTGGTGAAGAAGGTGGTAACAAAGAGCAGAAGCCATTGGAACACAACTGGTGTCATTGTTTTGAGTTTTGGAGCATACATAACTTCCAATGAAGAATATTCACCTCCAGCCAAGAAATTCCTAATATTTATATAGGTACTTAACAGATATACATATATACATACATATATACACACACACACACAAATATATATATATATATATATATATATATATATATATAGTATTTAATCTTTATCTGTTACGAAATGATGATCTTAAAATCCAGGTTTAAGGTATAATTATTTAATTAAGATATATATATATATATATATATTAAAAATAAAATAATTATTGCTTTAAATTTTTATGATATCTTTAAATTTATATTTTATTCAAAAATAAAATTATTATTGCTTTCTTAAAAACACATAAAATCGTATTATAACATTGACAGAGACAAATAATATAATAGAACATTAAAATCGAAATGTATCTCGCTGCATTGCGCGAATACCCTTCTAGTACATATATATGAATTTAAAATTTAAATTGTTTATTGAGAAAATTAAGGTGGAAAGTATAAAGAAATTATTTATGGAGAAACTTTTGGTTCATATACCTTTAATCTTCTTCAATAAGTTCAGCTCATTATTTATTTTATCTTATTATGAGAAGGTACAATAAGTATTCTATGATATAATTAATCATGTTACTTAATATTTCAATCACCTAAAAATGGTGTTGGTTTCAGTCAGATGAATGAAAATGTAAATGACAGAAAATGGAAACGAGAATGAATTTTCATTCCTTCAATTTAACCTAGAATCAAAATTTGGGCTTCTAAGAAATAAGTTCATTCTATTAACTAAAATCAAACAGTTTCTTTTATTTTCATTTTTATTCATGACTGTCTAATTTATCTTATGGTTTTATTTTATATTCCAATTTTTGTGTTTTTTTTTTGGAAAAATAAGATATTTTAAGAACAATAAGTTAAAAAAAAATACATGTTTAATTTTTTGTGATTATTTTAGTGGAACGACTCGTTCAACACATGGCCAACTGGATATTTTGGACCCCTTTGTGGGGTTTCTTTTACTCGGTTTTATTTGAAAAATGTATTGTTTTTTTAAATGTTAAAAAAAATCAAAATGTCTTTATTTATTTCGAAAAAATTGTATTGATATAAGATATTTAGACGTTGATACAGACATTTGTTACGAAAACCATGTCAATTATGCGTATGTGGATGTATTATACATGTACTAGAAGGGTGCTCGAGCAATGCAACAGGATATATCTCGATTTTAGTGTTTCGTTTTATTCCGTCTCTGTAGATGTTTTTGTGTAATTTTTTTAATTTAATTTTTTATTATAATTTAATTTAGATTTAGTAACGAACTGATAGTATAAAGATAATAATTAAGTAGTTTGTTAGAACTCAATGATTATCTCAATTATATTTTAGATTTTTTTATATTTAAAGTGAGATATTTATCCTCTATTTGATTATGTTTATCTGTAGTTAGTTACGCGAATTTAAACATGAAGCTTTAATAAGTTGTACTTACGCACAATTTACTTATAATCTTAAATTTTAAGTAATATGCATCAATAAACAGTACTTCATGCTTAAAAAACTGTTTTTAAGATTTTTTATCACATGCTTTATAATATAGTATATATATAATTAATTAAAATTTCATAATCCCTGGTTGGTTTATGATAGTTGGATTTATCAAATAAATGGAAATTTTAATTTCTTTTTTAATATGTATATTTTATTATTATTATTATTATTATTATTATTATCAACAAATTGTTTTTAAAATATATTTATCTCATTCATTGGATGAATATCTCTATCCATATTTGTTAAGATATCCTCTTCATGATGAGACGTTTTTGGTTGATTTTTATATGAATATTATTTCGTATAAATTATTTAAGAGATATTAATTCTAAATAATTATTATCAAGATTGGTTAATTCCTTAACGAGTATTTTATTCAATGTGATTTGGTTTCTGTTACATGTATCTCTTTTTTTAAACTGAAATTTGTTTAATTAAATTAAAAAATTAAGGGTAAATTACATTTTTGGTTCATGTGGTTTATGTGTTTTAATACTCTGGGTCTCTACTTTAAAATATCTATGGATTACATCTTTGTGGTTTGTATTTTATAACACGTTGGATCCCTAAATCTGACTCTATTAGATTTTTTCTGTTAAATAAGTTAATTAAGAGTATTTTTGTTATTTTAAGTATAAGTACCAAACATGTATTAAAAACACATGGACCAAACATGTAATTTACTCTCTGTATACTCTCTCTCTCTCTCTCTCTCCATATATATATATATATATATATATATAAATATAAAAAGAGAGAGAGAGAGAGAGAGAGTATATAGATAGTAAATTACTTGGTAGCTTGAACAAATTACTATATGAACTTCAACCAAGTTTTATATAATACATGCAAAGACTAAAACAATAAAATTAAATCTTATAGTCAATATAATTCATTTTTGAGTAAATTACATTCTTAGTCCTTGTGGTTTATGTGTGTTAACACGTTGGGTCCATATTTTAAAATATCTATGGATTACATTTTTGTGGTTTGCATTTTATAACACGTTGGGTCCATATTTTAAAATATCTATGAATTACATATTTGTGGTTTGCATTTTATAACATGTTGGGTCCATAAATTTAACTTTGTTAGATTTGTTTTGTTAAATAGGTTAATTAAGAGGGTATTTGGGTCATTTTAAGTATAGAGACCAAACATGTAATAAAAAGCACAAGGGACCAAACATGTAATTTACTATCTTTATGAATCTTCCTTTTGTTAAAATCTGAATACGTATGGCCTCTGGTTTAACTGAGTTAACATATTTATTTCAACGGGGTTAGTAAGAGGGACCACAAGAATCAAATCCATACTAAACATACCATAGGGACCCTAATAAAAAAAATCAAAACACAGGGACCAAATCCATAATTCGCTCTAATAAAATAATGTATAATCTATTAAATTTCAAGTTTATAAGTAATTATTGTATACATATAATTTAAAAAAAAAACGTTTGAATATCATAATATTAATATTAAACAACTGATAAACATGTTCAAATACAAGATAATTTATTTAAACATAAATTTAACTCAGATTTCTAACAAAAACTTAAATGTTAGTTCTCAATTTATAAAATTCTTTTCATCCGCTGCACGCGACACGTTTAAGTGATAATTAAACATGTTTATATGTGTGTGTTTAACAATGTAATATTGTACTCATTTAAGGCATACATTGTTGTGCAATTTTAGAAAGATTTTTTTTGTAGTAGTTATAATTATAAATTTATAACAAAATTTATAGTAAATTCCATAAATTGTCCCTGTGTTTAGCCAAAAATTACAGATACACCTTTATTATTTGCATTTTTGTCATCGCTACGATCCCTGTTCTTAACTGACCGTTAAGTGAGAATCGTTAAGTAACCTCACATGTCGAGCACGTGAAGGCAGTTTAGTCTTTTACCCTTTTCTTTGTCATTATCATTGTACAAGATTAGAATGCATAAGTAAAATTAAGTGATTATTGCGTTAAATTGAAAAACAAAAACGAAATTAATAACCTCCAAACTCCCCTTGTTCCTCAACCAGGACGTTAGCACTGGTGGCGGCGTCCCATCTCCGGTGAACCTCCATCCCTCCCAAGGCAACCGTCTCTGATGGGTAGTTTTGGTCCAGTTGAATGCTAAACCCGTTGGTGGTGTGACGTCTTGCGTTGGTCCAAATAACTGCATATGTTTATCTTTCTTGTTTTTGTTTTCTACATTTGACTTCTTCTCATCTCCGTGCGACATCAAAATAAAAGCAAGTTTCTCTCTCTCTCTCTAATTCTATACCTTGCTTCTATGCTCTCACAACAGCTTCAAGACAACAAGAAATTGATGATTTGAACACAATTACACTTCTTATAAACGGTGAAACACAAAGTGAGAGGTGAGTGAAGGAGAATCTTGGCGACCTAGTGATGAAGGTTATCACTAGGTCAAATCGGGAAGGAGGGAGACAGCGGGGAGCAGTTGTTTTGGGGGTGGGGATTCACCGTAAAAAGGGTCTGCCAGTATTGTTGAGAGGAGGACGCTTGTATCAGGTAATGTTAACTTATACACCTGAAATAGTAATAATAAAGTAATATAATATGACTAAAATACCTCACTTGCTCGGCACATGAGGTGACTAAACATCCGTTAGGGCAAGGAGTTGTGGCCGCGACAACACAATGAACAATAAGGGGAATGTGTAACCTTTAAAGTGTAGAGATTGTACCCGATTCTTTTGGGCTAAGCACAGAGACAATTTATGTTTTTATGTCTTTTGGAACGATTGTGACGAATCTTGATTGGCAGATATTGGATCCATCGCTAACAACAATCGTATATACATATACCATTTCCGTTCAATCTCATAATTAATCGTAAAATGAGAAAGTAAATTCTTACTTTTGAAAGTCGACGTTCATTTTGAGAAAAACGAAAATAGAAATACGAACATTTATTTTAGAACGAGTATTTTTTTTTAAAGTGATCAAGATTATAAGACATGAATGTGTACTTTCACCGTAGTCTATGAAGACACTCACATTCACACGTATTCACACAATATAAGGATACATTCACATATATTATGTGTTATATTGTGTGAATATTACGTTATATTGTGCAACTGTTACATTATATTATGTAATGTTACATTTTTCACATTTTTAAGGAAAATTAACATTTCTCACAAGAACTTAACCATATACATATATATTTTTTTGATTAACCTGGATATCAAACCCGCTATGCGACCATCTGCTTTGCAGATGGTCCGGAGTCACCGCATTTGAACCTCTATGGCCACAAGGGGATTTTTATTCTCTTTGAATTTGAACTTGGGACCTCCTGGTACTTTTGACCTTTGAAGCCAAGATCAAAACAATCAAACACCACCCTTTGCTTATTTTATAAGCATAATATATAGACTTATAACAAAATACATAAAGATTGAAAGAGATAGATTGGTTGTGATGTTGAAA